TTGCTGGAATTTCAATCGAGTAGCGATATCACTTTATTTTAAATTAATAATTATATATTATATGTATTGGTGCGTGCAGATATACCTACCTAAGACGTGTTCAAAGTGTTACCCACCGTACGGTGTTGCGGATTTAGAAAATCACGTCCCACTGAGGTCTATTTTTCGTATACGAATCGTGGCCCGAGTATTTTTACATTTACCTTCGAATTTCCACAGACCCTGCAAGTACGTACATGATACAACTGTCAGAAATCGATTTATAAATTGATGAAATATCAAAATCGAATACTGAATATTATAGAGTTATATCGGTTTAATGTTCGGTTATCTTAAAATATTATTAGCCAGAGATATTAACCAACGTATTCGATATCAAATCAACCGATTAACGTATGAGAGGACGCTGCCCAAGCACGTGTTGTTTTGTTTACGAACATCACACATTTTTGTTCATCAGAATCAATAATGTCTACTGTGTTGTTAACTTTAATATAACAGTGAATTGATCTACTATCAAAAAGGTAAGAACGTTAACTGCACTTACTGCTTAAGGGTCATCTTATTTCCTATATTTTAATTTTTAAGCTATCTTTGAAAATTTTTTATTAGTTATATTTTACATACGCATATCTCGATTGCATATTTAAGTATGGAAAAAAAAGACGCTTAAGCAAGTTAATGTTCTTATTTTTCATTTAGAAGTAGATCAATTCACTATAATATAAAAATTTAAAACTAACAACGTACAATTCATTCTGATGAATGCAAATTTGCTATTCCGAACGTCTGTATAAAGCCGAGACACCAAAATACAAATACATTGGTAGCATCCTTTTAATATTAAACTTATTTAAATATTAAAAATTACAATAATACATTTTTTCAGTATCTTGTGAATAACATTTTATTTTATAGCCTGTCAACGAGTGAGACTGACATAATAGATGGATATTGAGTTTTGAAAATTCTACGGTTGAAGTTTCGACTTTTGTAAACCACCACTAAATCATAAAATGATACTTACCTACATTAAAATGCATTTCTATTGCCATATTATAGTAGAAAAATTAAAAGAATAAACTTATTAGGATTCTGGTTCTTGGTAAGTTATCCATATGGCATCTGCAGACACACCTACATTTATAATAGGGTATATAGATTATAGGTAATTGAATCAGTAAATTAAATAGTTTTAAAACATTTTCATATAAATTATAAGTTTTTAAATACAAATATAAATATAAAATAGTTACTTATTAAAATATATGTCAAATACCTACTTTCCAATATCATCTACTTATACTTGTCCGCGAAAGCTTTAAAATAGACAAATCTCCATAAAATAGGCAAAACATACAAATTTAGTCATTGGTATAAAATCATAAAATTAGTATTCGAATACATAATAAGTAGTCTTGAAATTAATCAAAGTTTCATTAATCCTGTACAGTCGTACGCGATTAATGCGTTATGTGCAGCCTCCCCGCGCAGTTCCCCGACGACCCGACGTCATTGTTGAGGACGTTACGGTTCTACTCGATACACTCTTATCACTGTCGCGCCGCACGTACGTCCTCGGGAAAAGTCACACGACGATGTGCATAATATCGCTGGTAAAATACGAATAATACGCGCTGTTGCTCCATCGCATTGTTACCGTGATCACGGTCCGTAGATCATCTGTTCGCCATTGTGCGTTTCACGCGGTTTTCATAGATCTAATTGCCGCGTAAACAAACACGCGCGTCGAGATCGTAAATACGATATTATTATTGCTATGCCGTAAGTCAGCCGTCGGCATTAATTTGGGCACTAAGACAATTAAACGTTAATCGTCGTCTCCACGTGTTCATGATGAATGATGATAATAATATTGTATTATTTCATGTGCACCCATTGTGTCGGCTCACCGGATGTCCATCCAAGGCCGCGGCGAACGTCTTAACTGTTTTCTTGTTCGCTCTTCGATCGTTCTACACTCGGCCGAGACCAGACAGCATGTCCGAGACTGCACGCACGTTCATATTTCATACATTTAATTTATTGTGACTTCGACGAAACCGAGAGTAAATAATATTCTAATCACTATACGAATACGTGAGTTTTGACGATTGGAAGATTCGAGTGAATTGTTCAATATACTAGCTGCTGTACTCATACACCATAGCAGACATAGGTGGTAGGTATTTAATATTATACACAGACGAGATCAAAGAGATACGTTTAGAAATTTAAGAACGAAATAAATTGTATAGTCGAAACGTCAGTAGTAGTAATATTTACTATTTAATATTAATTACTAATTAGTATGTATATATATTATTATACCTGCATGTAACATGTATATAAAACTCATGACTAACTGCTATACTATAAGTACTGCAAAAATAGTGAGTCAAATTATAATTTAAAGTGTTGATTAATTAATAAGTAATGTTAAGTAATAGATATTACAATAAAAAAAAGTTATAGACTTAAGTACAAATATTTAAATATAGTAATTTACGAATAATTAATGTGTACACATACCTACACAACCTACCTATTCCGGTGTTGGTGAGTTTTTTCACATTTTCTTGAGGTTATCATTTCGTGCTTGTCAGTTTGGCTGTATTCAATGAATTGTCGTAAAAAAAATCATAATGTGATATAGCATTTTATATATTTATATATTATATAGTATCTATAATAGTATTGAATAACCAATTTTCATTGACGTTTGTATGGTAGCTTATATGCATACTATTTGAGCTCATGTAAGTGCGTATTAAATAATATTATTGTCACCTGTAATGGGTTATTAACAATAAAAAAAGACAAATGCGAAATTACCAATAAATGTGATTTTTACATGTCTTATTGTGTCATACACTTTCCTTTTTTTTTACGATCGTACGTGGAACGTTTTGACTAGATGAATGTAAAATAACACATTCTACTGTTAAGTAAAAAGACAAAAGAACAGGAAATGAAATTTTGTTTTTCGTTGACAGAAAAACATTGATATAAATTAGAATTGTTTAGAAATACCGTCGAAATGGACACTAATACTGGACGGACTACTAAAGTTATAAACACCGATAAACATTAAACCGGATAATAGGTGTATACAGATATACGATATATAAGACTACGATATATCCCTACGATTATCACAGTTATACCACTGTACTAACATATAAATTATTTTAAAATTTGATTTTGAGAGTTATAATAATGTTAGTGGACCCATTTTCAATAACGTTTGAAACAATTCTAAGAAAAAAAATCTTAAAATTATTAAATTGCCTTGCCAGAAAAGCAGAACATAAAAACGCCTATTATTTTTGTTTATGTAAAGGATAATTAGGACAATAATCAATAATAATCAATATAATAAAATAATAAATTTAATAATACGAATCAATAAATATAACCATGCCAATATAGTTCTTTAAAAAATTATCTTCAAAATACAAAAAACCACATGTATATGAAGTTAGTAGCTTCAATGATCATTCAAGGCAAATATAGGGGATTTATACCATATAATATTTATTCATTAATATGAACACCCCATGAAGGTATATAAAGTATAGATAACAATAGTTAAAAAAAATTACAATTAAATATTAAATATACAAATTAATTTAAAGCCTTAAAGATATTATTAGAAGGTGGCATATCACAAATTATTATGTTGAGATATGAGAAATAAATCAAATGCATGGTATAACTTATAAATTTTAAAAACTCAATGATAATTTATTGGATTTAAAAAAAGACATGAATTCGGATCATAGAATTGTTTGCTTCAACACATAATAAAACTATTATGTTACAATCTTTTATACAACATATTAATTGCAGTTTTTTGCGGGGAGGGGGGGGGGAGGATATTGTGAATTTTCCAATTCTAATAAATCCAAAAACCATGTGATTCCTATAAATTATAAGTATAAAATATGAACACAGAAAATTATAAACTATAAAATTTAATTTAGTTGATGGTAATTAGTAACTCTTTGAACTTCGGAATGTACACTTATTATGTTGTTGTGTAATATAGAATAAATTATATTAGTAAAATGAGTTGGGATTTGTTAATTTGTCAAATTAAAATGTATTTATTGGGGTTTATTAAATCATTGAACAATTAAATAAATAAGAAATAAATATTTTATGGCGGGCTCCTTATAAAATGTAGTGTATACAACTAATAGTACATAGTTGTCAACAAGTCGGTGTTTTATTTTCCACTAGGAACGTTAAAATATAAAATAAATAGGTACTGTTGTGTTGTTTTGGTAGGTAGGTTAGTAAAGTACATCATACATAGTTAATGTTTAATATTTTCACCATATAAATATAATTTTAGTTTATGAGTAAGTTCTTACCTCGTAATATTGTTATAAGTTATAAAATATAAATAAACATTTTAACTTATAATATAGTATATATAATTATTTTAGAAATTTATTTTTGTGTTTTCTGTAGCTAAATAATAAGTAACAACCATTTTACTGATCATAATGCCCCTCTCCCAAAAAAAACTATAAACATATTTAAAAAGAACTATATCAAATTTATTCCTTAGATTTCTGAATTCGGGAACATAACCTCTGACCTAACCACATGATGAATAATTAACCGTGTAATTTTTCTACTTACTCTGTTGTTATTTCATTACTATAGTATAATATGTTAAGTGTTCACTAGAATATTTAACAGTTTAAATTATTTATTTTTATAATTTTATTTACTATCAACAAAATAAAAAATAAAAAACTATAATAAATGAATAAATGTGATGTAATGAATAGAAAGTAAAAAATTGAAGAGCTCCAATGAATTATAATTCGTTATCCATATACTGTATACCTATTGACTTATGACTTTGAATTAATTATGCTTAAGATATTAATAATTACACGTTCTTAATTTTAAACTGCGTATTTATGTCGTGTAGATAAAATTATAAAAATGTTTTAAAAATATAATTTTTGTTTGTATTTCAGGAGTAAATGGGTTTTACGACTGAACAATGAGTGTAAGGACATCTGCTTGTTTGATTTCTTTGAGTATCCTTTTAGGTAAATATTAGTCTTAAAGTCTTAAAAATAATTTAATAATTTATGAGTATATTATAATTTATATAATTATAATTATTAGTCACACCGTTAGTAATATTTATTGTTGCTTTCAGGATTCATTTTATTCGTCAGTGGTGAACATTTCTATTTACCTAAAGAAAATAATGTAAGTAAATTATTTAATAGTATTAAAAAAAAATTTTTCAGTTTTCATGTCTTACACATTTATTGATTGTTTAGGATTTCTCTAACGATTTGCAAGATGACTGGGTACCGGTATCTGGTATCGATAAAAGGTCTACTAGGCTCAACAATGGATTTTCCCAAGTTGTGCATATTACGCCACCCGTCCGGTATACCAACAGACCACTCAACCTACAACCAGCGGCTTCTAACAAAATTGAAGTGTTCGCTCAACCACCACCCACTATATTAGGTTCTTTTAGCGAATTCGGTCATGCAACTATCGAGGCACGAGAGCCAGCGCACACTTTAAATTTCAGACCTAGCTACAACTTTGACCGACATTACGAAGAGACTAACGACCGTCGTTTTCAACAAAATGACTACAACGAACCAGAAGACCAAAAGCCTCCCGCAATCGTAGTATTCAACGCTCAACAACGTCACCCTCAAAATTATCAAAAACCACCACCACCACAACCACCACCACAATTCTACCAAAACTTTCAATTCCACAACATCAACAACAACCCCAACAATCACAACAACAACCCCAGCAATCACAACAACAACCCCAACAACAACCATAAGAGCTTTGGGTTCAAGGAGCCACCAATTGTACAAGATCCCCCTAAGAGACTGACGCCATATTATGTGCCCAATGATCATATTTTCCCGAGACCTCAAGGTAATAACAAACAAGTGTACGCGGAACAACGGCCAAAACCTTATTTAGTGAACCCCTCAGAGCCAATACAACAACAGGCACATAAGCAACTACACCAACACCACAACCACCACCACCAACACCAACAACAACCGCAACAACAACAGCAGCAGCAGGAACAGCAGCAATACAAATCGTCTACTGAAGGTGGATCATCGGCTTACTTCCAAAAGTATCCAGGTCACGTCGAAAACCAAAACTTGTACCCTCAGATTTCAAATTTCGCACGACCATTTGAACAGACGAACGGAGATCAAAACGTATTCATAAAACCAAATCAGTATGTGCACAACTTGAATGTAGGCACAGAAGTGAGGTTCGGCCAGGAACACGGCAGCCAACCTACCCGACCGGTGACCGTGGACTTGTCGACCGCGTTCACGCATCCAGCGACCAGGCCATTCAGCAAGTACCAGACGCCGACACCCAAAAACGAAGAGCTTTATAGGATATTCCCGGTGAAAGAAGTCAACGCTCTTCCCGCCTTCCTGCCTACACCTGTGACGCTGGGCCAGCAGCAACCATCGGACGGCCGTCCAAAGGCGCCTTACTTCAAGGACGCCGTTGTGGGTGGTTCATCAGAGTACGACGCTCGTGAGGAACAGGACGAGAATGAGTCCAGCGAACAGTATGACATATTGAAAAGTCCTACCAAGCCGATGTCAACCTCGACCTCAACCACGACTACGACCACGACCACGGTCGCGCCCAAGACGACGCGCAAACGAAAACCAACCACGACGACGACTACCACGACGACGACCGCCGTGCCGGACGACTACGACGAGTATGCGGTGCCCAACCGTCAACAATTACAGTTACAAGAACATCAACAAGACTACCGACCACGACAGCAATACCAACAACACCAGGATTACGAAACGGTGATTGTCCCCACGACGGAGGCGTCGTCGACCTACGCGCCGGTCAGAGAAGAACGACCGGTTCCAGTGTCAGTGAATAAGTTTAAGAAAAAGAAGCCTTTGCCGTCATCTAGGCCCAAAGAACAATACCCGGTAGTCGAATACGAAAACGTGCCTGAACGAGTGACGTTGGCGCCGACACCGACGCCGACCACCACTACCACGACCGCAGCGACCACGACCGCGTCTACCACGACGACCACGACCGCATCTCAGCCGAGTAACGCCGACACTGCGGCGTCGGAAGCGCGTGCGAAGATCAAATCCAAGTACGGAAACGGTACGCGACCGCGGTTCAGTATCAAAGACTATAAATCCACGACCACTTCGACCACCACCAGTACGGAGAAAGCGCCGTTTACAGCAGGACGGAAGACGACGACCACCGCGAGTCCCGCGCCCACAGATCCGGAAACCGTTGAACAGCCCGCCAACACGACGGCCCGGAAGTCGTACAAACCGCGGGTCCGACCCAACCGGTACAAGGCTGGCACATCGACGACGACAACTACCACGGAAGAACCGCAACAACAACAGCAGCAGGACACCACCACTGAACGTGCTTACCGGACCAAATACAAGCCTGGCAAGTACTACAACAGGCTGAGAACAAGTACCGACTCAGCTGTCGCAGTGGTGGACGAGGGCAGTGAACCGGTGGCCGCCACTGAACCGACCAGACCGGCAGTGTACTCGGCCAAACGGCGGACGGTGCCGACCATTAGAACGTCCGCAGTTCAGCCGGCCACAGTCGCGGCGGCCGAAGAGCACAACGCGCTCAGGAGAAGCTCGTCTGTGTCACCAATCGACGAGAACACGTCTTCAGAGGCGATGGACGCCGCGTCTTCCGAAGACGTAGATTACATTGCAACCACGGTCGCGGTAACCCCGGTGGCACCGAGGCACAAGTACCACACCTCGTATGCGGCTGACAGACCACTGTTGCCCATTGAGTCGTTCTTTCAGTCGTCAATGGCCAGTAAACGGCACCACAACGAACAGCGATGATCGCCGGTGCTAAATATATATAATATAGTAGCTCAACACATAATAATATTAAAATAATGATTTAAATGATTACCTAATATTATTACAACCGTATCGCCTAAGGTGCTCACGACAAACAGCCGAGAAATATCCGACCATGCGACGCAGAATGGTCGTAACGCATTAGGTATATAATATGTACACGTCGACCCTCAGTCCTATACACAATGTACACATATATAATAATGATATAATTTATATTTAAGCTATCGAAACACTTTTGTAGTGTAAAAATATGATTCTAATATCAATGTCAATATAGATTTTCATAACTAGTCACCCCTATGTTTATTGAGTGATGGTTTTCAAAAATTACTTGTGAATTTACCGAAACAAGCGTAAATTGGATGATCGGATATTTCTAGACTTTTGGGTAATTCAATACCATAATATTTAAAATATCGTTATTGCGTTACAACGTCGTTGTTAAGCTAAAAATATTTTATAAGTAATACGACATAATAATATAGAAGTAGGTACATATTTCTATACTCATATTATGTGTATAGTCTCACAGTTGACCACTCTCCCCTATTTAAATTATATCTAATTAATATTTCGTTGTGACATTATTATTGTAGTACGTAGCTTATTTTTTTATGACTGTACATAAAAACAATATTTATAGTTTTAACACATAGTTTTGTATTTAATTATTTTTATTATGTATCTATTTACACTTATTTATTTGATTAATAAAAACATATTATACAACCGTTAATCGCATGTCCAGTTTAGATTATGATAAGCAACAGGTGAAAATACATGATAAACATGAACAATAAACAGATATGTATTCAGAAATTTTGCGGTTCCACCCCCCAACCCATACATTTTTTTATTTTTTTAAATACTTTTATTTTTTTATAAATGTCATTTAAAGACAAAATATATTTAATACATTTTTCATTTTTCACGTTGTTTTTTACGAGCTTTAGAGAAACTGAACTTATTAGTCATTAATTATGTCTTCTTATTCTAAACTTGTATTGACTGATTCAATATTTAATATGGCCAAACTGTTCAATTGTTAATCCGTCATTCTATCGCAAGTAACATTTTATCGTTTTAATGCATCAAACAGCAGCAATAGATACATTCTCAATCAAATACATACACAAGGGTATATGTGTCTTCTTTCTTCAAATCCTTCATTTATAAGTTTCAGTTTTGAATATTTTTTGTCGTCTTTTAGTTTTGTATTCAACTATCCAGATTTTATTATTGCAATTTGTTCATAGTGATTAAAACAATCTCTAAGAAAATTGATGCAGTGAATTAGAGAGTTATACATTGAAATCACAATTTCTAAATCAACTTTTTAATGTATTCTATTTGTTTTATTATAGCGTTGCAACTCATCTCTCCAAACTGTTATTAATATTCCCTTTTCTAAACTATTTATTTTAATATTAATCAACAGAAGTTTGATTATGTAAAATAATACCTCTCATAAAAAAATTACGATCGAAGCCTCTAGCCTCCCTCCCCTGAACATGTTATGATATAATAATATCAAAAATAAACTTGAATTATGCTATATAAGTAAAGTAAGTATCTACCTACATCGTACATTATAATAATAAAATAAATAAATTATTAAAAATATATATTATTTAAATTTTTATATGATGTTCTAAAATTATTTATATGCTAAATGATTGCTTTTTCGTACAAAGGTAATCTTAATTATTTTATATTTATATATTGTATTAATATTGTATTTTTACTTGTTAAACAATATTTTTATTCAAACTAAATACAATAATATTGTACTGGAATGCGAGGTTTTAATAAAATCTATAGTTAAATTAAAAATATGTTCCATCAAAAATAAATATCGTTAATGACAGGTCAAATTTAATGTATTATATAAAATATCAATGTATACCTATCGTGTATGATTATAGTCAAAATATTTATTTATATTTTTATTATGAAATAATTTTTTAATACTTTGCAGACCATGTTATTATACTTATTAGTATTATTGCAACATGTTCATCAGTGTCGTTTACCTCGTTATTAAGAATTTGATATCAATTATGAATCAGTTACTAACTAAAAAAAATTAGTTATTAAAATAAAACTTAGTTCTGAAAAAAGTCAATACAATACTATACATATATATATACACTTAAACTATAGTGTTTAAATTTTACAATATTTCTTATATTAAGTTAAAATAATTTCCGATCATTCGAAACAAAATATCAAGTATAAATTGAAAAAAAAAATAAGATTAGTTGTGGGTAGGCACTAATAAATGTTATTATATTAATTAGAATATAATCAACATTATTATTGTAAGACTAAATTTTATATTACACAATACCACAAATAATCATAATTTAAGGGCAAACTTCTCCAAAATAAATAATCAAAAATATTTGCATTAGTAGGTACTTTAAAATCAAAGATTTTGACTTTTAAATTGAAGTAATATTGATTATTAGATTGAATGGTCAAATGCAGAGAAGAAATAGAAAAAACTAAAAATAATAGATACATAGAAATTAAGTATACAATTACAGTTTTAAATTTTAAATTTTAAAGAAAATATAAGAAGGTACGAGATACCTAATAAATTAAAAATTCACGAAAGAAAAATTAAACTTTTTGATTTTAAAATTATTACCTGCATATATAATTAATGAATTATTAGTTCATTATTAATTATTATTGTCTTAAACTCATATAATATATAAGGTACTGAGTAGGTTTATAATTAGTCCAGTGTTATTGACCAGAATTTACTATATTCTGTAACAAATATGTACTTAATTTGTATGAAAAAATAGAAATCTTATAAGATTAAAATTAAGTACTGTATACGATGTAATTTAATGATTAATGTTGTTTCTAGGATAATGTATTATTATATCATAACAGTTAATGAAGTATTTATTTGATTCTTCTAAAGTACTTTAGTATAATGCTTCTAAAAATCCCTGCTCAAATAGTTTAGCAGAAGGTAGACATATCAGTTCATCGATTCAACAATCAAATACATTGATGATCCAACCATAAAATATAAAAGGTACTTTTGTATTGACATTATTTAAAATTTTTTAATTATATTATCCATATAGATACTAGCTTAAATTTTACAAATAATGTTACCCTAAAATACTTGTGTGGTGTGAACATTTTTGGTGTCAAAAATTAGAAGTAAATTTAATCTATACTGAAAATGTTTGTTTAACAATAGATACATATTTATAAAGTAATATGCATTTTTACATAAACAATTTCGAACCCTGTTGGGGTTGTAACTTGTAAGTAATCTCTTAAAATATAAATTGGGTGACATGGTAGTCCTAAATGATTATTAAAGCGGATACAAATTGTTGTCACTTTCATAATTTAACTTAACAGGTATTATATTTTTTTGTTAAAGTGACCACAAAAAATATTTTAGTATTTTTTTCATTTCTCTACATAGTTTATTATGAATCACAATATATTTAATAAAACATTTAAACTGTATTGCATAATATACACGTTTTATTTTTGTATATTTATAATAAGACGTCAAAACAAGTTTTGTTTTAGCATAATACCTTGTTACCTACCAACAGTAATAAATTCTTAGTTGGTTTTGTTAAATATACTTTAATAGGTAGGTAATGGGTATCTAAATGTTGGTATAGGAAGGTACAATCAGTTTACTACTAAATATGATTTATAAACATGTTTAGTGCCTGCAAGTAGTTATATTATATTATTATATGAATGTGATATACTGACACTCAGTTACTCAGTAGTCAGTACTTAGTACTCAGTAGGTACCACATCATTACTAGGTATGTGTCTAATAAGCTATTTTTTTTTATGACAAGGCATAAATTTAAATTTTACTTGTTGACTATATACTTTATACTGGGCTTATAATTTTTATTTTTATACATTTAAACGATCAGACAATTTCTAATTAAGGTATAAAATTATTGTTTAAATGCGCGTTTTAAATGTATTACCTATCAATTTGTTTCCATCCAAAACACCGTGTTAATGTTTAAAAACTTTAATATAGATGTTCCCAACAGTTTTTTCATTTAAAGTCAAGTTATGAACGGTCAACGGACACCATATGCATAACCCCTATTCACTATTTAGGACGCATTTTGTTATTTTTTTTATTAAACTAATAATATTGCATGACATGTATTAAATTTATTGTCTGTTTAATATATATTAATTATGTATAATGTAATTAGTATGGTGCAGCTATACACTGATATATATACCTACTGCACATATTACATTTATGTTTAGTTGTAACTTGTATTATGAAGATATGTCAATATGAAATTACAATGATTGCGATAGTCAGCTTGAAGCTAACATGCATTCTGTCAGATTTCTTTTCACAAGTATCATAATTCATATTATAATATATTGTTGTATAAAAAGAAGAAAATTACGCCACAGTCATATCGAAATATTAATTATACCCATTCAACATGTGAATCAACACTGCAAGTGAACATTATATTATAGGTAAGCAAATAGTCAAGATAATATACATGTAGATGAGTGGAAATTAGTAGTAATAAATATTAAATATAATAATATAATATGATACGCAAAACCAGGAAACGGTAGCTATTAAGACGGTTTCGAAATGAAAAGCGTTAGTTAATGAGACGTCAACGTTTTTATGATAATTGTTACTAAAATATAATTACACTGGTAAAAAGTTATAGTCCAATTAAATATATGTATATCGTCTGGGAGACAGGCTTTTTCCATCAAGGTTATTTCATATTCGAAGTGTATTATACTTTCTCCGTTGCGTTTGCTCGAAAATGGCTTTCACTGTATACGAATCCAAACACTCGAAGAAATTATTTCCGTTTTAAATGCACTACTGAAGTGCCAATGACTTGGATCTAGTTGGAAGTACTTGAGTGATATTGATGTGCGCGTCTGTAAATTTCTCCGGGTTCATCCCGTGACCGACGAACAGATGTAATTATAATATGCATATTATGTGATATGTATCCCGCGATGTCAATCTTATCG